GAAAGGAAAGGAAAGGAAAGGAAAGGAAAGGAAAGGAAAGGAAAGGAAAGGAAAGGAAAGGAAAGGAAAGGAAAAAGACTGAATATTTGGGGGGAAACTTTTCATAAATACCTTTCCCTGAAAAACATGTAGTTTCAAAGTCAATTAATTTCAGTGCTCAGGACCATTTGGGCAGCATATAGATATTAGATAGCTCAGAAACAGTTAGACTGGCTAGACAGACAGAATATTACAGAATTATTACAGAAAACTATTCACTATGTAGTGTTACCCAAGACTTTATCTTGTATAACAGGAGTACACCTAAGATCTCAAGGATACATTCAGCCTCACAAAGTTTTTTTTTATAAACAAAATTTTATTTTTTAGACAAACATACACAAACACAACATAAAAACATCAAGCCATCTTCCACTTACGTATATACAGTGTGTCGATTGCTTACAAATTGTTTTATGCATCCTCTCCATAGTCCTCACTTACAATTACTTGTTTATATTCTCATATTATCAGTCAAATATTCCTAAATACATTATTACCATTGTTAATCAATCATTTGACTATACTATTATTCATTCATGTTATGCGAGATATTTATCTTATAACAATTCATATTATCATCCTAAGTCCATCCCATAATTATAATATGATAATACATCTTTATATATTCTATATAGTTCCATTCTCCTTATATTATAAAGTTCTATGTATTTCATTACCATATTTTATTTTCTTACCATTGATAAAATAAATCCCAAATCTTATAAAATTGTTTATCTTCTTGTTCTCTAATTTCAAATGTCAATTTACTCATTTCAGCACATTCCATTATTTTCTTAATAACTTCCTTCTGCATTGGTATTTTCTCATTTTTCCAATTTTTAGCAAATACAATCCTAGCCGCTGTTAATACATTTACAATCAAATATTTCAATTCCCTACTGTATATTTCAGGTAAAATTGCCAATAAAAATATCTCTGGTTTCAAGTCTATGTGTTTTTTTGTCATGTTTTCCAACCATGTGTGGATTTTAGTCCAATATCTTTTAACGTCTGTGCACGTCCACTACATATGGTAATATGAGCCAGGTATCTGATGACATTTCCAACATTTTTCAGATTTGTTCTTGAACATTCTTGCTATTCTTGTTGGGGGTAAGTGCCACCTGTAAAACATCTTATACAAGTTTTCTTTATATGCTGTTGACATTGTTATTTTATAATTTTGAGACCACAATTTTTGCCATTTCTCTAAGTCAATCCTATATCCAAAATTTCCCCCCAAGCAATCATTGTTTCTTTAAGTTGTTCTTCTAGCTTAATTTCTAATAAATATCCATATAGTTTTTTAATCACCTTTTCATCACCTGTCAAAATCTTATCTAAGTCAGTCAGTTTATCATAAAAACCTTCTGTTTTGGAATTTTTATCATATCTAGAGCGTATATGAAAACCAATTCATCTTTATACCTTGTTCTTCTAGCTTTTGCAAAGATTTAAGTTCACCCTTTTCATTCAATATTTCACCACTGTTTGTTCCTTTTTATATGTTATAGGATAAGAAAATGCTTCAATAGTCGATAACCAGACTGGAATTTTCAAATAACATTGCTTTTTAGTCTTCTCCCAGTTTAGTAACAAAGCCTCACATATATAATGTCTTCTAAAATACCCCTGTGTTTTAGTTCCCTTGTACCATAGGAAGGCATGCCATCCCAACAACAAATCATGTCCTTCTAATGTCAACAGTCTAGTATTTCTTAGTGTTATTCATTCCTTAACTGACATCAGGTTTGTAGCTTGATAGTATAACTCCCAATTAGGCAGGCCAAATCCTCCTCTTATTCTAGCTTCTTGCAACAGTTTTAATTTTATTCTCGCTTTCTTTCCCTACCATATATACTTCAACGCTATTTTATTTAAATCTTCAAAGTGGTCTTTCCCTAGCCTAACTGGAATTGTTTGAAAGATTGTAGGTAATATCTTAATTGTTATCTTAATTGTTTAATTAATTGTTATCTTAATTAAGATAATTTAATATCTTAATTGTTGATATTCTCCCTATTAATGATAATTGTAAATTTTCCCATTTCGCCAGATCTGTCGCAATCTGTTGTTTGAGTTTAATATAGTTATTCTCTTTAAGTGTGCTGCATCTTGCTGTCAAATGTATCCCCAAGTACTTAACCTTATTTGTGACCTGGATTTTCAAAACATCTGCCAATTCTTCCTTTTGTCTTAATAACATATTCTTTGTCAAGATCTTCATTTTATCTTTATTTATTTTCAGACCAGCTACTTTTCCATATGCCTCTATCTTTTCTATCAGTTTAAATGCTGTTTCTAATGGATCCTCTAAAATGAAAACTTGTCATTTAAATTCTTCCTTTTTAATGTTCATCCCTTTTATATATTTTTCTTCTCTAATGTTTCAATTTAACACTTCCAAAGTTAACGCAAACAACAGAGGTGACAGTGGGCAGCCTTGTCTTGTCCCTTTTCATATATCAATGGAATCCATCAATTCTCCCTCTATCATTACCTTTGCTGTTTGTTTATGATATATAGCTTCTATGGCTTGAATATATTTCTTACCAAAACCCATCTGTTCCAGCTGTAATAATATGAATCGCCAGTTCACATTGTTGAAGGCTTTCTGTGCATCTAAGAATATCAAAGCCATTTGTTTTTCAGGATGTGCTTCATAGTATTCCAAAGTGTCCAAAATTATTCTCATATTATCTTTAATTTGTCTCTTTGGCAGAAACCCATTTTGATCAGGATGAAGAAAATTGTTCAAATATCTTTTAAGTCTTTCTGCCAATATTGAAGCAAAGATTTTATAGTCTGAGTTTAACAGGGAAATAGATCTATAGTTCTTAATTTGTTGTGGCTCAGTGTTCTCCTTTGGGACAAGTGTAATATATGCTTCTGACCATGATTTGGATATCCTCTTCTTTGACATAACTTCATTCATAACTTCTAACAATGGAAGATTCAATGATTCTTGTAATGTCTTGTAAAATTCCCCTGGAAATCCATCCAGACCTGGTGCCTTTCCATTATTTTGTTTCTTAAGTGCTTCAGTTAACTCCATCATTGTCATGTTACTTTCTAGCATTATTTCAGTCTCTTTAGGTATCTGGGATAGACTGGCATTCTGCAGGTATTGTTTAACTCTTTCATCGTCTATATTCTCTTGTTCATACAATTTCCCATAGTAGTCTCGTATAATTTTTTTCTTCTCTTTACTTCCATAACAAGCTTGGCCTTGATCATCTATTAATTGCGATATTTTTCTTGATTCTCTCTCCTTTCTCAATTTACATGCTAACCATCTACCTGGTTTGTTTGCGTCTTCAAAATAGTTCTGCTTCACACCCCTAATTTTTTCTGCTAATTCTTTTTCCATTAATCCCATTTTATGTTTAATTGTATCCATTTTTCACTTAATGTCCTTTTTCTGTAGCAGTTTCTGTAACTCTTTTTCAAGTCTTTTATATTTATCCTCTAATGCCTTAGTGGCTTGTCTTTTCATAATATTTCTTTTCCTTGTATAGTCTATTATCAAGCCTCTGGCATAAGCCTTCATTGTGTCCCATAGATTCTGCATTGATGTATCTTTTTTTTTTATTTTCTTTAAAAAAAAATCAAATCTTTCTCCATTTTCTGTATAAAGTCTTTTTCTTTTAATATAGTATTATTTAAAGTCCATCTTCTTTGTCCTTTCCATTTAATTGTCATTGGATTATGATCTGCCCAGGTACTTGTTCCTATGTCAATTTCTTGTAGGTTAGAAATTAATTCTGTTGACATCCATATCATATCTATTCTAGACCATGATGAGTGTCTGTTTGAGTAAAAAGTGTATTGTTTGGTCTTAGCGTTTCTTTCTCTCCATGCATCTTTTAAGTTTATTTCATCTATCATTTCAAAAAAGGATTTAGGGAGAGTCTTTCTACTTTGCTTTGTTGTTTTCTGTGTTGTATAGTCCAGTTTATCATCTACTATTCCATTGAAATCTCCCATCATACAAATATTGACATAATCCAATTCAATTATTTTCATATGTAATTTTCTAAAGAATTCTTCTTGATTATCATTTGGAGCGTAGATTGCAATCAGGAGTGTTTTCATATTATTGTCCATTATTTCCACCATTAAGATTCTTCCATCATCATCTGTATAAATCAATTCCGCTATATTAAAGATACTAATCTTTAATATATAAAACCACTCCTCTTTTCTTACATTGTGTCAAAGCGGTAAATATTTTCCCTAGCTTTGGCTGTGTCAATATTTGTTCATGTTGCTTTTAAATATGTATTTCTTGTAGGCAGATTATATCAAATTTTAATTTCTCTAATTTATGGAAAGTTTTCCTTCTTTTAACAGCTGAGTTAAGTCCATTTATATTCATTGTAATCAGTTTTTTCTCTTCCATGATTATACTTTATAAGTAGGTTTTGCAGCCCTAGTAGATCTTGGTTCTCGTTGTTCTCTAACTTCCACCTTTCTGCCTACTGCACCTTCTTCTTTTTCAATCGCTGCTTGACAGTCCTCTTGGAATTCAATTAGTGACACTTCTTTTTCTGTCTCCTTCTCTTTCCCTCCGAAGTATTCTGTATAAAATAATTCTGCTTTCTCAATTGAATCAATTCTGTGTCTTGGTTCCTGCCATGTAAACATTAAGCCTTCTGGTATCAGCCATCTGTAATTCACCTCTTTTTTGAGTAGTATTTTAGTCAAGAATTGATACTCTCTTCTCATCTCTCTCACTCTTCTGGGTACTTGTTTCAGAACTACGATCTCTTTGTATTTCAATGTTTTCTCTCTTGCCATCTGTAATATTTGCGTTTTAATAGCTTTCTTTGTAAATCTAATGTGAACTTCTCTTGGCAATTTATTTCTCATTGCATATCTTGTGAAAACTCAAAAGACCTCATCTATTCCATCCATCATCTTCTCTTGGGTTATTTCCAATGACTCAGCCAAGATTTCTATCATTATTTCTGCCAAATTTTGTCCCTTTTCTTCCTCTATATTTGGAATCTAAGATAAAATTCTGACCTGTCAATCTCCCATCCCGGCATCACACTCTTATCTTGTTTGACCACGCTTAATCTGCCATCAATATCTTCAATCTTCTTATCTCTTTATCTTCTTCAATTTTTTGGAATCTCTCCTCATACTTCATCATCATTTGTTGAATGTTCTCCACCTTTTCATCTGTTTTTCCTGTTCTTTGTTCAATGTTCTCTTTTCAATATTCTCTGTTCTTGCTTGTATGTTTTGAATTCCTTGCATAATCATCGGCAGCATCATGTTTTCCTATTCTTTTTCTTGCTGTAACATCGCCTGTATTGATCGTTGTCCTCCAGATGGTGAAGAGGTAGAAGTAGGAATTGAAGAACCAGCCGCCGTTAGTTTCCTGCTCATTTCACAAAAAATTATAAGGTTGCAAACAATCCAAAATCTTCAGGTTCACAAAGTTTATGACTAGTCCAAAAAATTGCCATTAATATGTATTGTGAACTCATGAATTAATTAGGCTCATGAATTAATTAGGGGATCTGTCAGAACCCTGACATGTATGCTTGATGTGATAAAAGAGAAGTTTTTAAATACATGGTTGTGGTGGTATTGATTGTATTTTACATCCAATTTTATATTTGTATTCCCTTTTCTCCACTTGTGCAGTTCCTATTAATAGCCAAAAATAGTTTGCTGTCCAAAATAAGTGTTTACCTTACTATATGGGTAGACTGTGACCTATGAAGCTTCTTTAGCCACAAGATTGCTGAGCATCTCCCTTCAAGCATATTCTCCATTTGACCCATATTGAAAGCAGTATTTATAAATAGTTAACATAACTTTTTTTAATTAAAAGGATTGCCCTTTAAAACAAAAACTTGATGTGAAAAAATGAAAGCTGTATTCATTTAGTTTAACTCTAATTTATCACAATTCTACTTGGACGTTTGAAAATTAATGCCTTTATAGGCAGTTCATTTGCAGATTGGGTCAATATATTATTGAAATGTCATCTACACTCTTAACTTCTTACTTTTGGTAAAAACAGCCAAAATCTATATTTTGCAAAATGCAAACAGAATTTTAATAACTTCTTTTGATAATACAAAAATTAACCAATCTAGTATTTCATAAATAAATCCATAGGATTATTTTATTTTAGGTACTTTGAGCTATACAACATTAAACAGGAACATCTTAATTTAGTAATGATTAAATTCATTAGCATCTTAGCATGAGCTGTGGTGATGCAGTGGTTAGAATGCAGTATTGCACATTAATTCTGTTGACAACCAGGAGTTTGATTCTGACCAGCTCAAGGTTGACTCAGCCTTCCATCCTTTTAAGGTTGGTAAAATGAGGACCAGGATTGTTGGGGGCAATACACTGACTCTGTAAACTGCTTAGAAAGAGCTGTAAAGCACTATGAAGTGATATATAAGTTTAAGTGCTATTGCTACTGCTATCTTTTTGGCCCCTTAAAATTAGGAAAGATTATGAGAAAAATAACTCACATTTTCTCAGAATGAAGAACAACAAACAAAACCAAAGCTCACCATATATATTCACACTGAATATCCGGTCCTCTTCCCCTGCAGGATTGGTAGCAACACAAGTATATTTTCCTCCATCACTTGTAAGAGCTCCAAAAATGTGCAGTAAGCTCCCATTTGGAGCCAGGCTGAAGAAAGAAAGAAAATCAAATACTGAATTTTTGGAAACATGTCTGTAGATCCTTCCTTCCTTCCTTTCCTCCCTCCCTTCTTTCTTCCTCCCTCCCTCCCTCCCTCCCTCCCTCCCTCCCTCCCTTCCTTCCTTCCTTCCTTCCTTCCTTCCTTTTCTTTCTTTCTAGACTCTGACTTATATGGCCACCTATCTCATATAATTATTCTAGGCAGCTCACAACAATCCATAAAAACAAAAGTGCCATTCTCACAAGAACAAACATCCTCTGATATCAACCCTTTCCTACTTTGGGACAATCTTGACCTGGATGACTGACGATCTCTGTAGACATTTCCCTTTTCTGACTGTTCTTTTGTTTGGGCTCTGCTTCACTTCCCAAAAAGAGAGTTCAACACTTAACCTGATCTGCTGAGATTCATCACTGGTGATTAGTTTCCCATCTTTTAGCCACTGAATGGCAGGTGTAGGGGTTCCACTGGCCTCACAGGAAAGTTGGATGTTTTCTCCAAGGATGCCACTAACTTCACTTGGCATTTCAGAACCAACAATATCTGGAGGAACTTTAGAATAAAAATATATCTATCAGTAATGATTGCATAAAGCAGAGAATAAAATACAATAAAAGCACAATTTATTGAAACACTGAGCCTTGTTGGAAAAGAAAAGCTCCTGAGCACTTCTACATTTCCATCTCCAATCATACCTATCCCCATACAAATTAACTCAAGGATTTCAGAAATTTAATTTAGGAGATAACAAACATTTAGTAAGAATAGATAGTGGCACATGAAGCTGTTGAATTAACTGTACTGAAAATATTTGTTGTTATATTAGATACTGATTTGTAAGTAGCTCTGGAACTACAGGAGTTATTTTACATATATTTCTCAGTTTTTAAAAAAAACATAAAATCATGCATACATACTTTCAACAGAAAGAACATAAAATTTCTTAGCTTTGCCTTCTACATTTGAAGCAATGCAAGAGTAATTTCCATTATCAGAATAGTGAGGCCTGGCAATTTGCAGCTTGTTTCCTCCTGGCAAAATAAGCAACTCATGGGTGGCAGAATTTTCTAAATATAAACAAATACGAAGAAATCAGAATATTGAAGTCTCAACAAGCTGGTTAATTTTCATTTTAGCTCTATGTTCATGCTTTGAGATCAGTTGCTATCTCTGTCAGCTTAAAAAATTGTGCAGTCCTTGGTGCTCCCCGAGCTTGCAAACATTTCATTACCCAACTGGATAATATCATCAGCACGAATGTGCTGTGAGCCATGCTGGCACAGTGGTTAGAATGCAGTACTGCAGGCTATTTCTGCTGGCTGCTGGCTGCCAGCAGTTCAGTAGTTCGAGTCTCACCGGCTCAAGGTTCACTCAGCCTTCCATCCTTCTGAAATGAGACCCAGATTGTTGGGGGCAATATGCTGACACTGTAAAGCACTTACAGGGGGCTGTAAAGCACTGTGAAGTGGTATATACAGTCTAAGTGCTATTGCTATTGCTACCTTCATTGGGTAATGAAACATCTGCAAGAAAACCACCAAGCTCAGAGAGCATCAAGGACCCCCTCACTTCAACCCTGAGCTACAAATATTCTATTCTGTCAACTTAAAGCATAGGAGAAGGAAGGAATATAAGACATGGATCATTTGTTTGGCTAGGTCCCACAATTCCAAAATAATAGGAAAAGTGTAAGAGAAGGTACAGGCTGTTCCTTTGAGAAAGGAATGCATTACCATGATTCAAAGCATCCATCAGCGGGATAAATGATGAAAGCTTCATTGCCTATAAACTCTTTCTTTTTTGTATGGTATTGTGGCATTGTGATGGATATATAGTATGTATAGTGCAATGTTCCTTTCATCCTTATGATAAAAGCAAACATTTTTGCAGATATCTTTGATCACCATTAACCCTCACCCCAAAGCACTTCCAACTTTGAAAAAATCATTGCGAATCAGAAGAAAAATACCTTTAAAAAAACATGTCCAGCAGTTCAAGAAAGGTAGGCTTATCTTACAGAGAATTTATATACCAATTTTGCATTGAACTCCATACTCAATGGGTGTTTTAAAGGCTGTAAAGGTAGTGCTGGGGGCTGCATGCAGTAGTGATTTGTCCAGATTTGGCTGAGAGAGAATTCATTTCATACAACTTAAATCAATTTTGTTCAGCTTAGAAGAAACATTCCCTTCCAGAAAGCTAGAAAGGTTTACACATTTTTTCTTCCCACTCAGTACAACATAAACCCTGATCACACATAACAAGCTATTCTTTCACTTCACTGAGTCTTATATTTTAAGCTCCATTTTTCCATCTTCAGTATTACCAACATTAACTTAATACTTGCCTTCTTGGGTATTAGCTTTCTAGATTCTTTGGGGGTGGGAGGGACAGAAATGCCTTTCTGTTTTGAACTTACAATAATTTTATCTGAACTTATTCCCCATTTTGGATCTTAGAAAATCCAACAAGTAACCAATGTTACTTGAGCAAACATTACCAAGTGGTTTTCCATTCTTAAGCCAAGTTATTGATGGTGGAGGAATTCCAGTAGCATCACAGGTAAGAGTTATAGGATTTCTGATGGTTTCATTGATCCACTCTTGCTGAGGGCCTTCAATGGTAGGCGGTACTGTGAATGAAGACAGCAGGTTGATACATGCACCAAATTACCAATAATGGATTCTGGAAAAAAACAAATGGTCTTGATAGAGTCTGTACCTCATTCCTTCCACCTACCTGCCACCACAGCTTCCTGCTGTGCAACAGGAAGTATTAAGAAATCAAGGTTTGAACATACATAACTGTCTATCCTGTCTTATGTTCAATTTGATTCACTAACTCTAACAAGGATCACTTTAATCGGTCTATTAAAAGCTTACCATGAACATTAAGATGGAAAGTTTTGTCATCACGTCCTGCAATATTTATGGCTTTGCATACATACTGGCCTGTATCAGATACCTGTGAATATAAACAAAAGGTGATATGCAATTATCTTTTTACTAATTTTAAAAAGTATCAATGCTAGCAGAGTGCCATTATAATATACAATTCAAGACAGAATACAATAAAATTAAAATGTCAGTAAATATTGGAGTAGGTTTCTTTGTAGTTCAATTGTTGAAATATTATATGAATAAGCAAACCCTTTACAGGTAATCTTTGCTTACCAGCTATTTTGTTTAACCATCATTTGAAGTTACAATGGTTATAAAAAACAGCTTTATGACCAAACCTCACATTTATGGCCATTGCAGAGTCCTATAATCACATGATCTTCATTTGTCACAACTGATATATTTATAACCATTGCAGCATCCTGAGGTCACGTGATTGCAATTTGTGAGCTTTACAACCAGTTTCCAACAAACAGAAGTAATGAAGGATATGAATGTGAAATCTTGTGGTCATGTGATGTCTTGCTTAAGAACCACAGTGATTTGCTTAACAATGGAAACAGAAGTGACATCCTAAGTCTGACATAGCCACGTGATTTTTCACTTAACAACCTCAGTGCTTAGCAACAGAGTTGCCAATCCAATTGTGGTTGACAAGTGAGGCTTGCCTGTATAACAATTAGTTTTTTTGAATACAAAGCAGTAATAAACCTAAAATGAACTGTTTACATTTTTCCAGCTTCATCTATCTATCCATGGTGGTTTTATATATGATGTATAACATTTTGAAGACCACAATTATGTGAAGTTTGGGCTAGATTTTTAAAAGTAAAAAACAAGACATATTTGTATACCTCAGACATCTTGATATGGAGTGTCTGACCATCTGCTACTATCTCCACATTGGATGAAACTGAGATCATACGGTTATTTTTGTACCAGGTGATGCTGGGAGGTGGAACAGCATTGGACTCACACTCTAATGTCACTGGCATTCCCACTCTCACATTGATTATTGCAGGAGGTATGCTGCTCTGGCCTTTAATACTTGGAGGAACTTTGAAGTAGGGGAACAAAAGAAAAAATATTTTTCTTTGACTTTTCCCAAAGAAGTGCTATGTTATTACTGACAATGAAAACAAAATCTCTTTAAAAGGTGCAGAAACACACCATGAATAGTAAGGAAAGTTCTCTTAATGCTTTCTCCAGCACTATTTCTGACTATGCAAATATATTCACCACCATCAGATAAACGTGCCTTAGGAATCTGCAGTTTGCGACCACCTAAAATCAAGACAACAAAACAGTTCAAGTGAATTACTGGACCAACATCACATCATTCACTGAATTTGTATGGGATTCTAACAGAAGCTACAGAAATAAAAATAGGGACATGAATGTTCACTGAATGTTCACTGCTTAGAATGAATTAAGAACACCACTGGAGACAGCCACCAGCCACCAGTCATTTGTATCTTTAAGACTAAATTTAGAATTATATTAGGAGAACAGTCTAAAATTTAATAATAAATCTTAACTAAACAAATCACAGTTAACTATTCCGCTTTAAGTGGCTAAGGAATATATAACTGATCATTCCAAATGATTGCAACATTCTATGAAAAAAAAACAACTCCACGAAATTATTTTTATATACACACACGCGTGCATTTTGCTCTATTTTTTTCTATCACCCTTGTTGAAATATTGAGAAAAGAAAAGAACTCGATAAAAACAACACGCCCAGAGATCACTCACCAGGAATAATGAGAATATTTGTGTTCAAGCTGAGAGGTTTTCCATCCTTGAGCCAACTGAGATCAGGAGGTGGGAAGCCAGTGACCTCACATGTCAATGAGATGAAGTTATTCACCACAACAGTTAGGTTCTCAGGATTAATTCCAATAATATTGGGAGGAACTGTTAAAAGATAACCATGTCCACATTTTGCAGTCTCATTTATTAAAGGTTCCTTCAGCTCTAGTTGCAAATTAAAACATTACAGTATCACTTTCCCAAACTCCAGCTGATTCTTCTACTGGGGAGATGAAAAGAGTTAAGGGAGAATATGGAGCAAGATTTCTATCACTGCCACATTTTCTCTCCACACACACACCCTCTTTTTTTCCCAATTTTTTTTTTAATGAATGACCAAAATATAATGACTATATCTTTCTTTTCAATCTAGGTGGAACAGAATAGGGTGCCAACATATTCAAATAGTTGTCAACATGTCCCAGCTGATCAGAGCTGGAAAGCAGGTTAGTGGGTGGAGAGGGAATGGGATTTTTGCAGTATTCTTCGCCCAGGAGTGGGGAGAGAATGGAGATTTTACAGTATCCTTCCCCTGCCTTGCCCACCAAGCCACGCCATTCCCACCAAGCCATGCCCACAGAACCAGTAGTAAAAATGTTTGAATCCCACCATTGGTGGGATGGTAACAGTGCTCTGTGACATTATATTAGCTGGTTAGCTGGATGACTGTGGAAGTGTCTTGGATAACGCTGGCTCAATGGCCTTGAAACAGAGATGAGCACACACACACCCAAAGTCAGTAAAATATACTAATCATTTACTCTTTTAAGGTAATTAAATTACCTAAGTTTTGTATCTTTGCCTAGTACTTTTTTAATTTGGAATTGGTGGTTTTCTGAAAAAAATATTTGTACAATGCATTATTTGGATAATTTGTTGTCAATCAAATTCATTTTAGATTTAAAGATCACTGCTACCTATATTCAAAGAAGATATTAACTAAAAATTTGTCCTAATTTATGCTGTGTAACCTGCATCTTTCTTGCCTTTATCCTTAACTATTTTCCTTCTGTCAGCTTAGCAGCTCAAATTCAAGCTTGCTGCTATTTTAACTTCTAAATAAATCACAGGTCTTGGCCTGATGTTTTCAAATAAATCAGGAAACATAAGCCAACAATTAAGCCATGTTGCAGTTCTGGCTTACAAGGAATACAGCAACTATCAAAGATTTATTTCTCAGTTCCAAAAAAGGAGCTAACAGGTTTCTTATTGTTTAGTGCAAACTAGTCCAGTGTTTCGGGCCAAGTGATAAAATTGGACATGACTCAACTGCTTTTAAGCATCTCTTTCTCTCTCAGTGACTAAACCATGAGATGGGAAATGTACTGAATAGAAGAGTAAAAATGCTGTTCATGTTTATGATTCTACATCCAATGAAGATCAGACCAACAAACAAGAACTAAACAATACTTAGTCAAGGAACTGCCGAATAAGCTAACAGTAAATAGCCCAACCAAAGAACTTCCAAGATCACTTCCACCAACACTGACAAGTCAAACCACTAGTGTATAAATTGAAAACAACCCAGCACTGATAATCTTGCCTAGTTTGTGTAATGAAATGTCTGCCAGTAAACGATCAAGCTCAGAGAGCACTATTTGAACCCAAAGTTACGAATATTCTCCTTTATTGGTCAATGTAGATCAGAGAAAATTTTTCTTGTTCTTATCACAGAAACAAATTCTAAAAGCCCTCTCAAATGTTGCATTTGACATTATTTTTCAGTGCCACCCTTTAGGAATTAATTCCAAATAATAATCCAGAATGATTCTGTTCTGTACAAGTCAATTTACATACTCGTAGCCCCGCGTCGCGATTGGTTAAAACGCACGACGACCGGATTGGTCGAGCGAGCCGCACTGATTGGCCCGTTGCGAATCCCCCGCGATTGGTGGAAACTAATCGCGGGAGATTCGAAGCGGTGTCATTGGCCGCGGCCGCCGCGGCTCGGAAATAAAAAGCCGCAGTTTTTCCCCTTCAAGCTTAAGCTGTATCAGGAGCCAATAAAGAGCTGAAACAAAGTCACTGACTCCGAGCTTCCTTTCTCGACGGACACGACACTGGCGACGAGGGTGGGATCCAGAGAATAACCACCGAGCACGTGTCCAGAGGAAGACAAAGACCGACGAGATGGCCAGCATGACCCCACCAGCACCCTTCAACCCCGCTACCGAGGACTGGGAATCGTACACGGATAGATTCCTGATGTTCCTCGAAAGTAGCAATTTGAAGGATGCGAACGGGCAGAAGAAAAGGGCCGTCTTCCTCACACACTGCGGGCCCGCAGTGTTTAAGATGGCCAAAGCCCTCGCGAAGCCCGAGGACGTGAAGGCGATGGACTGGGCCGATCTCGAGCCACTCCTTCGGAACCACTACGCCCCCGCTGTGCCCATCCTCATCCGGCGGGATGAGTTCTATCGGCGAAACCAGCGGCAGGACGAGAGCATTAGCGACTTTATAGCCGCCCTGCGAGACCTAGGGGGGATGTGCGAGTTCAGGGACCTGGACGATGTCCTCCGAGACCGCGTGGTCCTAGGCCTCAGGGATCAGGCACTAAAAAGTCGACTGATGGCGAAAGGCAACATCGACCTCGGGGACGCCCTGGCCGAAGCTTCCGCAGCCGAAGCCACCCGGAAGTCAGCAGCCAGACTTCGGAGGGCAGACAACGGGGACCACACTGAAACCCCCGAGACAAGCCGACGAGAAACCACCACACACCACGGGGACCTGGACTCCGCCTCCGATACCACGGACGAGGAGGAAGACGTCCACCGACTACAAACAGGACGAGACCGGCGAGATCAACGGGGTCGTAAGTCGGGGAACCAGTGCGCCGGGTGCGGGGGAAATCACCTTCGATCCGAGTGCCATTTTATCGACGCGATCTGCCGGCATTGCAACAAGAAGGGTCACATCGCCCGAGTCTGCCGACTCAAAAAGACACACAGCCCCCGCCGGCGAGAACCAAGCAACCGGGGACGAGACGACACCCCCCCGAGAACCAGAGATCGCCAAGCCGACTATCGCTGGAACCGAGACAACCGAGGACGACGGAGCGGGGAAGGCCGACAGAGAGAAGAAACCCACCAGACGGTCACCATCGGCCATGCCGAAACCACGGATGCCCGGAAGGTCTACGTGGAGGTGAGCATCGAGGGCGAGCCATGCCGGATGGAGGTAGACTCCGGATCCTACCTCTCCATGGTCGCCTGGAAAGAACTCAAGCGCCTGGTGCCAAACATCCAGAAAAGAGGACTGGAGAACCAGAAGCTGATCATCAAGGACTATCAGGGGAACCGCATCCCCGTCATTGGGACCGGACAGTTCGAGGTGACTTTCAAAAACCGCACCGCGAAACTTCCCCTGACTATCGTGGACCGGAACCGACCCAGCCTCTTAGGACTCCAATGGTTTGCGCCACTCGGGATCGAGGTCACGGGAATAAACCACACCACAGAGGCCGACTGGGAACAGCAGCTGGCGAGGGACTTCCAAGAAGTATTCGACGGCACCCTAGGCAAGTACAAAGGGCCCCCTATCTCTTTTAGCCTAGACCCAAATGTCGCCCCCATACGCCTAAAACCCAGACGGGTGCCTTTTGCACTCCGGAAGAAAATAGACGAGCAGATTGACAAGCTCGTCAAACAGGGGGTTTTGCAGCCAATCGACCACGCCCGGTGGGAGACCCCTATAGTCACCCCAGTCAAACCAGATGGGTCAGTAAGGATCTGCGGGGACTATAAGGCCACCCTCAATTGCGCCCTGCAACAAAGCGCCTACCCCGTCCCAGTAGTGCAACACCTATTACACTCGCTGGGGGGGGGCAAGGTCTTTGCGAAGCTCGACCTGGCGCAAGCCTATCAGCAACTGCCGGTCGATGAAGAAACCGCCGAGGCGCAAACAATAGTCACCCACCGGGGAGCGTTTCGGTGTAACCGACTCCAGTTTGGAGTCAGCGTAGCCCCAGGAATTTTCCAGAGCCTCATGGAGAGACTGCTGCGAGGAATCAAGGGGGTGGTTCCCTATTTTGACGATGTATTGGTGTCAGCAGCCAACCAGGAGGAACTAGAGGGTCGCCTAAGGGAGGTACTAGAAAAATTCAAAGGGGCCGGGCTAAAGGTGAAGAAAGAGAAATGCCAGCTATACACAGAGCAAGTCGAGTTTCTGGGGTACCTCCTAGACCGACATGGCATCCACCCAACCGGGAGCAAAGTCAAAGCCATAAAGGAAGCCCCCACACCCAAGAACAAAACAGAGCTGCAGGCATTTCTGGGACTGTTAAATTTTTACAATGTGTTCTTGCCCCAAAAGGCGACCGCGGCGGAGCCTTTGCATAGGCTCCTGGACAGGACGGCCAAATGGACCTGGGGGAAACGGGAGGACACCGCATTCAAGAATACCAAAGACCTGCTCACCTCGGATGCCGTTCTCATTCAGTATAATGAGACCCTACCCATCGCCGTCACATGCGACGCCTCACCATTTGGCGTCGGCGCTGTCCTCAGCCATACACTCCCAGACGGAAAAGAAGCACCCATCGCTTTCTTTTCAAGAACACTCAGCAAACCCGAAAGAAACTACAGCCAATTAGATAAGGAGGCACTGGCCATCGTCGCAGCAGTAAAGAAGTTCCACGAGTACCTCTACGGCCGCCGATTCACCCTCATCACGGACCACAAGCCGCTGCTGGGCATCCTGGCGGGGAACAAGGCCACCCCGAACATCCTATCCCCCAGGATGACAAGGTGGTCTGAGTTCCTCGCCGCCTACGACTACCGGCTCACACACAGACCCGGTAAGACGATCTCCCATGCAGACGCGTTGAGCCGCTCACCGCTTCCCGACCTAGACGACGATCCAGCTCCCACGACGACCACCCTCAGCATAGAGACATTGCCGGACCTACCCATAACCGCGTCAGACATTGCCCGAGAGACTAATAAAGACAAGCGTCTGGCGCGGGTATTACATTGGGTAGCAAAGGGATGGCCAGAGAAAGACAACGATGATGCATTCAGGACATTCCGAAACCGGCAAACAGAACTGTCACTACAGAAAGGTTGTTTGTTATGGGGGGACAGGGTGGTCATACCGGAAAAACTACA